GCAAAAATATACAAAATACAGTTGTGAAAATATGGAACAGTAAGAATGTTAAAATATAAAAGTCACTTAAATATGACTTTCAGTTAAGAGCAATTTGAACTAAAATACACTGAAATCATGATTTAGGAAGATTGAAGCTTAAGTTTAAAAGAAAAAAACACAAAAACATAACACTCTAGAATGGCCAGCATACCATCAGTATGTTATAGGCAAGTAGATGTTTTGTTGGCCAATTGTGGTCTATCAGTCCACCTAGAACCAACAATGTCACTTAAATTTTGACACAGTGACAAACCCTGGCAACTGCTGGACTAGTTTCTTAAACTGACCATAAACGGATTTAAAATTTTGGCAAATCCCACCATCGGGCTCAAACAACATCAATTTCAAAATTCAGCAAGCTGAGTGGAAACTTGTCCAAACAGTGCCGGCATCTATTTAGATGCATTTAGTGTTGGAGTATTCAGGCAGCTGTGGGTGTATCTGATTACACAAGTCAGCAGTATACTGTAGATACCTCCATCCACGTTGTCTAGCATGAATGGAGGAATCAACTGATATCTTAGTAATAACCAGATGACAATGTAAAGTCCATTAAACTTGGCACAATTCTGCAGATACCATTAAAGTAAAAGAAATTCTTTTACATAGGTGGCCAGTTTGCAAAACTTGATCTGTTGCTAAAACAAGAATTCGGCATTTTGTAGATCCACAACTGATTGGGCTCCACAAGTGGCCTAAGCTTGCTGTGGTGTATCATAACTTATATCTACTTCTATTCAGTGCTTAGTTATATAAACAGACCTCCAATCATCTTTCTGGCTATCCAGTAGTTGGCTGTGCATGCTATGCCAAAGTTTAACAAAGTTCCTGTGTAAGCTGAAAAAGCAGCCTCATTTAAAAGCACTTGTTGCTAAATTGAACTACTACAAAAAAAGGGGGAAAAAAATACAAACTCCATAGCCAAAGAGTATTCTCCACAAATATAAAAGCATATCGATATAAAATATTTCTTATCTGTGATATAATTGTAGCAAACCTGTAAATAGCATACAAAAAAAAAAAAAAACTACAACTCCCTACATGGAATGGAGTGAAGATATATTAAAAAAAAATTCCTCTACAAAATGATAAATAAGAGAAAAAAATATATAAAACAGAAAATATGTTAAGTCACACAATCTCAGTAAAAACATATACTTTAGTCACCCATTTCGTCAGAACTGATAAAAAAAAAAAAAAAAAACACAAACTTTATATTAGAGATCTACAGGATTTCAATTCAAATATTGTCAACAGCAACTCAAAAAAATATACACTTTCACAAATTCCCCTTAGCTGGGTGTCAAGGCACTGCCTAGTGAGTGCCGATTTTTAAGGTAATCTCACATGAGTAAAAGAAGATTATTATTATTCCATTTAGAAAAAAAAAAAACATTTTTTTTTTTCAGTCTGCCTAAAGAGGATTCTGGTGCCGAAAGTCCCAACTGGCAGTTGCTGTGCTGTCAATTCATACAAGCCGTGTCTGTGTATCTATGGATGTAGAACAGTAGCAGAGTTCCATATGTAAGAGGAATGTAGCCAATAGCTAGGCTCTGTTATTTAGTACTATTGTACCCACTTAGGAGCTCAGAGACAGCATGTGTTAAGTGCAGGAAGTTGACTGAGCAGCAGCTGGCAGGGGGACCACAGCTCGATACTTTTGCTCAGGCAAGGCAAGTAAAACAAGGAGGCAGATATAAAGTTTTCAAAATTAAGACTGCCTAATCATAAAACTTAAAATCTAAACTTAGGAAAAGAGTTAAATATACATTTGAAATACACATACCTGAACAGTTTCTCCTGATACAAGATCTGTAATTGTATTAAGCCAAGCCTAGGATCTAGGCATCCCTATCACATAGCTTAGCAAAGTTGGTGACCACACTTTTCTTTACTGCAGTTAAGCAATACAGCTTGGTCATGAACCTGCCCCAGCCTGTAATTGGACAGTGCAGGAGAAACAGCCTCTTGGTTCGGTCATCAGCCTACTTTTTTCTCCTGTAGTTTAAACTGAAATAGGCTAAGAGTCCATGCACACTGGGCTTTAAAAAAAATGCCAGTTCTTTTTGCAGAAAGAAAATGCTCATATAGAGTTGGTTTTTTTTTTTTTTTTTTACACAGGCATTTTAGGAACATTTTACTTTTTTGTGCTAGTAGAAAACTCCTCTCAAAAGCACAAACCAGAAGGATTCTTTTAGGTATTAAACGTTGAGCTTAAAATATGCCTCTAAACATCCTAATGTCCATGGCCACATAGGAATTGAGCTGCTTCTACTGGCAAAACACAAAACTCTGGTAGAAGCAGTGTTTTTTTAATCTCAGTGTGCATGGACCCCAAGAATGCTGTCCCTCCCTCTCCAAGTCCCAAGACAAAATTATGTAAGTCGTAATGCCTGTGCAGTTCTTGATTGTGTTCACAAATGTCTGACATAGATCAACCCCTGTAGCAGTCTGATCATTGGGGAGGAAGAGACTGAGGAAATGTTTCCTCGTGTCTGCAGCAGAAAAATGGCATCTCAACATAGGCAGTTACTAACTGGAGCTCAAAGATGGATTTTTAATAGTAAAAAGTTGGAGGATTTCTGCAAAATTATACTACTGCTGTATATTGTGACATGTCAGGAATTTATTAATAATAAAGGTTGCTGAAGGAAATCTTGCCTTTTGTTGATTGCACTGCCTCTTCCCAGAGACAGCATATATGAAGTACCTTATGGGTTGTCCAACTGAGGCACCTAGTAGTTTTATTTGCTGGAAAAGCTGCATGTTGGAAGTCATTTTGGCTTTTTTGTTACTCATGTGAGGTTATCCTACAAACTGATCTTCTGTGATGTCCCATGCGTGGATGTTGAGATATACAAACTCAGGTCTTTACCACTAGATGGGAGCAGAGAGGTTCACAATGGCCCCTATACAGGAATCACCATACTGAATATTGCCAATCTGAAGGTGTATGGAGCTATTTCACACCTCCTGGATGAATTCACTGGGTTCTCTCTCCATTTGATTTGTCATTATGCCACAGCCAAAATGGAGCTGTGAATCCTGGTATTGTATTTTTCTGTTACTAGCATGTGTTTTTACCCCAAATAATGATATTACTGGCAAGTTTGCACTTGCAATGTAATATTCTGAATACTTCAAAAGTGTAACAGTACTTAATGGCCAGCTCTAACCGAAATGCACCAAAATCTGTGCTTGAAAAGTTTTCTACTGTGGTGGCATCTTAATATTTCACAGGGACCCCAATAGTGAGATCTCTCCACCAGATGCTCTGGCAGCCACGTAAAAAGATGGTGTCCCTCCCCTCTGATGGATCTGTTATGCAGGGTTAAGAAAGTGACACCTTTGTATTGGTTTTTTGGAAGAAACACAAACTGCTACAGGGAAATCTGAGTCACTGAGAGGTATGCAAACCTCTGGCGTCTACTCAAAATGGAGAGAATCTTCCTTGCTGGACTCTTCATGGACCACTTCTATGGTACTGTGACTGTTAACATCCACTCCCTCTCCAATGATTGGTTCTGCTTTACAATCAGAGCAAGATTATAAGATAATAACTTTATTATACAAAGACCTCCAGTATAAAGATATTTCACAGAAAAATAAAAGACTTTCTGGAGTCTTTAAAAGGCCTCTGTCATGAAGCAAACATGTAAGAAGGCTTTGATGAAAGGCATGTCCTGCATACCAGACTCGAGGCAGTGGTCCAGTGACTGGGTTTAGCTTCACTACTTCGGGAGGACTTTCATGTGGTACATGGATAATGACTGCTTTTATCAGAGCCTTCCACACAGGTGTGACAGATTCCCTTTAAAGTGCACCTGTGCTTGAGTGTTAACTTAAAGCTGTGTGAACATTCTTGCTGGGATTGATAAATTAAGAATAATAGATGGGCTGAAACACTTCTCCCGAAGAAAATGCTTCTCCAGAGTCCTACCTTTGCAGGCCCTCTGACCAAAAGCCTTAGTGTTTGATCATGTGATCTCTGATGATGGCGAGTGTCAGAATTCAGATTGGCTAGTCTTCCTCTTTGACAGAGATCACGTGATAACATGCCTTGATGGAAGGGACTTCAGAGGTCTTCTTCACAAAAAGGGAAGTGTTTCAGCCTATTACTTTTTATTTATCCACCAGGTTACATAGATTTAGGTTAACCTTCAAGGAAAGGTCCATGTTACCAGAAAAACACCACATGTTGCATAATACTCCAGGCCACAAGAGGGAGCTGCATCTTTTTTTTACAGCCCTGCGATATATCACGCGGTAGGCTGTAGTAGCTTATTTTTTTTTCTGGCTGGTTCTGCCTGTGACCTGCAAGGCATTGCGCCAAAATTCCATTTCATATAAAAAAAAAAAATATAACACTGGCAAATGTATATAGCAAGGTCTGGAAGGTATGCTTTTAGTGCAACAATAACTCTCTTGAGTTTCAAGAAAGCTTTGTAGGTCTTGCTGATTGTTTTATAGAATTTTAGGGTCACTCGGTCCGACATTTCCCCATTTTTTTCTGCTTTTCCCAAAACTCCTTTGAAACCGTTGCAATTTATTTCCACAATTTTCTCTACTTAACCAGAGTCTTTTGCCTAGAGTTTCTTCTATGAACTTTTGGGACACAGCACCTCTTGTGGCAGGAGGCTGCAGCTGTGATAGGAAACAAACAAATGCACGGCACTGTTTCGAAACGCAAAGGATGGCCAATGTTGGGTGGCCGAAGGAAGTGTTTCATATCATAAAAAGAAGAAAAAGAAAAACAAAGCAAGACTTTCCCAGAGAACCCTGCAAACCGTCTGGCTTAAATGGGTGATTGAAAATAAAAGAAGAGTGATTAAAAAATATACTTTCAGTATGATGGCAAAGACTTAAGTGTTCCAAGTGCTAAATTTTAGCAAGAAATCAGGCTCTAATTTCATTGCTGCTTATATGTTCGGGTTTTTTGTCCATTTTAGTTTGTGGGCTCAGGGGTCCGTGGTGTTGATCACGGTTTTGTCTGGTGGAGTCCATCCTCTGTACCAACTGCAGTAACCCTCCTTCTGCTTGATGCAGGCGTAGTTTTTGGACTGATAACCTGGGTAGCCAAAATTTGAGAGCAGATCTGTCCACAGGCACTCACTCTTGGATGTAATGAAGCAGGGGAGGTAATAGCAAGGCTTGATCTGTAACACAGAATGGGCAACCAGGGTAAGAAATTACATTCTTGACCTACAAGCTGAAATCCAGGCAGTAATAAAAAAGCACAAAACAAATACAGCTCTGCTATCAGCAAATGGAAAAACTGGTTGTAGTTTTCAATGAACTACAAGAGTGCTGATGAGTGCCCTTATAGTTCATGGACGTTTCCTTCATTTCAGTAACTGTCTGCTCCTCTGGAAAGTAGGAGCAGACAGTTGTACAGAGTGTCTGCAGGAGCCTGACATTGTACCCATTATCCGTTGATCGCAGGTACATGTTTTTTTTTTTTTTGTACAAAATGTGAACTTAGCTTTAAATCTGCTTACAGCTAGCCTTTCCTGGTTCCTCTTGGGAGGAGTTATGGAAAGAGGAGTTTTGTAAATATTAGAATGACTTGATAGGTGGGTGTCCAGTCCAGGAGAGGAGCTTGTACAACTCTCAAGACTAAAGGGAAGGCTATATATCAGCTTTAAATCAGATACTAATCTAAAGAGTTGTAGATGTTCAATGTACAGAATATAGGGAGAAACCATCCTCTTACCTTGCAGTTACATCCCAGGTGATAGCGATGATTGAGCCCTTTACGCTGGGCCAATGTCAACTTGTCCCATTTCTCAATCAAATTGCACAGTCCAGTGTATACCTTGCCTTCATAGACACGGCCTAGATAGGAACACAGGAACCATATTACAGTCCATGAACTAAATCAGATGTCATTTCAGAACCATTTTATAACATACTAACGAAAAAGTGCCAATATCTGCTACATTGTATGGCCAAAAGTTTATGGACACCTGAAATCCCACCTAGGTTTGGCTAAAAATAGTGGACCTTCCTCCAAATGACTGAGTTTAGGTGTTTAAATGTCTTTGTAAGATGTAGTACCCTTCATTGGAGACAGCTGAGCATTTCCAACCTTATTGTAACTGTTTGGGGAAGATCTATTTCTGTTCCAGCAGGACTGTGCCCCTGTGCAAAAAGCGAGCTCCTTAAAGTCTTGACTTCAACCCTACTGAACACCTTTGGGATGAATTAGAACACTAAATGTGTATCAAGCCATCTCGTCTCACATCAGTACCTCACGAATATTCTTTTGGCTGAATGGGTTTAATTCCCACAGACACACTGCATATTCTTGTGCAAAGCCTTCCGAGAGAAGTGGAGGCTGTTATAGCCACAGCGAGTGTTCACAAACTTGGCCATATAGCGTGTGATGTAGAGAGGGCAGTTTTGTAAAAAAAAAAAAATTGCATGAGGCGATACCTGGACACTACAGCGGTCGCACAGACAGTTCAACTCTTCCAGGATGGCACATCAATACGTGCCATTGCCAGAAGGTTTGCTGTGTCTCCCAGCACAGTCTCAAGAACATAGAGGAGATTCCAGGAGCCAGGCAGTTACTCTAGGAGAGCTGGACAGGGCTGTAGAAGGTCTTTAAACCATTAGCAGGACTGGTATCTGCTCCTTTGGCAGTGCTCATCCTGTTCCACCTTGCACAGAGTCCTACAAAATCACCTCCAACAGGCCACTGGTGTGAATGTCTCAGACCAAACAATCAGAAACAGACTTCATGAGGGTGGCCTGAGGGCCCGACGTCCTCTAGTGGGCCCTGTGCTCACTGCCTGGTACCACAGTGCTCGATTGGCATTTTTCCATTGAACATCAGAATTGGCTCCCTGTGCTTTTCACAGATGAAAGCAGTTTTCACCCCGAGCACGTGACAGACGTGAAAGGGTCTGGAGAACGTTAGGTTGCCTGTAACAACATTCAACATGACCATTTTGGTGGTGGGTCAGTGATGGTCTGGGGAGGCATATCCATGGAGGGATGCACAGACCTCTACAGGCTAGACCATGGCAACCTGACTGCAATTAGGTATCGGGATGAAATCCTTGGACCCATTGTCAGATCCTATGCTGGTACAGTGGGGTCGGAGTTCCTCCTGGTGCACATCAATGCCCGGCCTCATGTGGCAAGAATATGCAGGCAGTACAAAATAAATAGCACTTACTTCCTCTCCCAAAATCCCAATAGATTGCTTAACATTCCTTCCCCTGAAGTACAAACATAATAATAATAAGCAAACTTAAAATAAGTGAATACCCAAAAAATATCCAAAACAATATATCCAAAAATATAAAGTCCCATACACCTAAAGTCCAAAGCTGATTTTATTTTTGATGGGGGTAATTATGCACTTCTTATATTGTGTGCAGTGGAGTTACTAACTCAATTTATACCCTTGAGATCTCACGATTGCTGTGACACTTTTAGTTTTGTATTTTGCATGTGACACGTGTGGCACAATATATCTTTTATTTGGGGTAATATACTATGTTGAGTTTTTTCTTTTGAGGCATTTGAAGATTTTCTGGAGTATATCACCAATCTGATCCGGGGATAAAGACAAATTGAGAGATCACTTGTAAAGATTTTGGATACGCGAACTTGACTTTGGACTTTAGGTGTATGGGACTTTATATTTTTGGATATATTTTTTTTGGATATTTACTTATTTTAAGTTTGCTTATTATTATTATTAAGAATATGCAGGCAGTTCCTGGAGGATGATGGAATTGATACCATTGAATGGTCCTTACACTCGCCTGACCTAAATCCAATAGAACACCTCTAGACATAGAAAAAGATGGGGCTTGAGATCTGAATTTAGAAGGCAGCTCTCTGTCAACCAAGATATCTTTGTTAAAGGGTATGAGTTTAGTCCAGACTTTCTCAACCTTTTCAACACAGAGGAAGACTTTAAATAACTTTCTGCAAAAAATGACAGTACAATATCTACAACTCCTCATACATTAGTGTAACAGTCAGTGGGAAGAATGCCCCTTACACTTGCAGTCATTCGGTAGAATTTCCCCCTTACAGATAGCTAAAAAGATAATTGGTGTAAGTGGGAGCTTACCTGAGAGGTAGAAATTGGTAATTTCTCAAGGAACCCCTAGCAACCTCTGGAGCAACCCTAGGGTTCCACACAACTCTGGTTGAATAACCCTAGTTTAGGGTATTCTGAAGATTGAAGAAAGGTTGAGAGTTCCACAAAATTCACGTGAGTCCAGTAGGTCTTTATTGCACATGTCAAGATGTCAAAAGGAGAAATAAAATTCATCAGGGTTTAAACACTGGCAGAAATTGAAGAGAATACTGGATAACAAGTTGCATAAAACTGGATAAAAATAGTGCCAATTCAGGTCACCAGTCTTCAGTTACTGCCAGCATGATGGAGAGGACTTTGACGTTTTTTCTGGCTTGCATAATGTGCAATAAGGACCTAATGAATACACAATTTCCAGGTGATCTCAGTTCTTTTTACATTCTTCAGATGTATCACTGATTGATAGACACAGAGAGATCCAATGTTTAGACATTTTCCAAAAGGTTAACAATCTGTGTAGACGTGAGTACCATCACCATGCTTCATTGCTACACAACTCCTTCAGTGTAAAGCTTAGCTGCACGTAGGCAACAAAATAATATGCATAGAGTGTATGTAAACTGGATTATGTAATAACTTATTTTATATTGCTTAGCTAGCCCTGACATGCTACATGGACAGGTCCTGCATAGGGTCTCAGCAGGGGCGGACTGACAACTGATGTGGCCTCCGGGCAATAGGGGATCATGGGGCCCCTGTGTCCTTGCCCAAACTCAAAAAAGTCTATGAAAAAAGGTACCAGGGGCATCTCATGGGGCCCCCTATTGACCCCGGGCCCTCAGGCAGTGCCCGAGTTTCCAAATGGTCAGTCTGCCCCTGGGTCTCAGGATGATTTAGCTAAAATTGATTTTGCAGCAAAGTTATGGACTTTAACATGATTTGGAGGAATTTCCATTTACTTTTGGCCATACATCTGTAGATGTGATAGTCAGGCACACATTAACATTTGGTAATACAGGGTAACCACCAGGGATAAAGATTTCCCTCTTTAGAAATACTAAAAGAAGCCAGAAAAACTCTAAAACTGTTATGAAGATTGAGGGCACCTTTTCCTATGTGCAACATCTTGAAAGCTAAACTGATATTTAAATAGTTTGGTAAAAATGAACAACAAATTTTGTGCCATAATCCCAAGTTTTTATTATTAAATGGCATCCCGACCCCAAAAAGCACAACAAGCAAAACACATGTGGCTTTTGTATACTGGTACTTGAAATGCTTTAGCCATCTGTGCCAAGCACACAGAAATATCTCACCTGTGATCAGATACTGATACTTGTTAACCTCCAGCTTAACTCCGCAGAGGCTCTCAGAGGACTCTGTGTAGATATATTGGACTTGAGGCATCTTTTTGAAACCACGGTACATCTGGAAAGAAGAAGACAGAAAGATAGAGTTTACTTCCAAGTCATATCTTGCCACTGACACGTCTAAGGAAAAATGTACAGCTTCATCAAAATGCTTCCCATATTGCTGGGCAGATTTCCATTAACTAAACACCTCCAAGATTTTTGTGTCCACTGCTGTAGAATAGAAGCCAGCTGTACAACATACTGTAGGGTTTGACTGAAAGTGATCAGTATTTCCTTGTGCCAAGATGTCAGCATTGATAGATCTTGCTACCTTTCTGATAAAATTAAAAAAAATCAATATAGAAATAGAATAGGATATTCAAGAACGTTTATCAATGTAACCCAATCCAATCGTTTAAAAAACCCAAACTTTGTCTGAAAAAAAGAGAAGCTTGTGTCAGACATTTAGAATTAAAATAGAATTTAAAAAACCTGAGGCTTCTGCATGAAACTCCTAGGAAAAAGTCATTGTTTGAGCTTAATAATTTGGATTCAGCTGCTCTTCAACAAAGTAGAGAGTGTAGCAATCATACGTACAGAGATGGACGCGGTCATCCATCTTGCTCAAGACCCTCCATCTTGTATCTCTCTCTCCCTCTAATCCCCCTCCTTAGGAATGTGGTCTGTGTGTGTATGCAGAGTTCAAAAGGCATCAGGCCCCAGCTGGAGAGCTTCATGGTTATAAACCCACATTAGCTGGTGCCCGAGTGTCTGTTAGCTTCTCAATCTGAGGTAATCGTAAAACCATAAACCAGTCCTTCACTGGGCTTCAAAAGACATTCCAGCTAGCCGTAAAACAGACCTCACATTTAAAATCCATATAATTTTATATCTTAAAAAAGGTAGGAAATAATTACATAGACATAAAGCATATATTCGGATAGCTCAGTTTAATGCGAGTCGTCTGATATCTTACACCCCTCGTGGAAGAGAGCAGAAAGCCATATAGTTCTAGCTGGAATAGTAAATTATGGCATGTTTGATATCCAGATATTCAGCAGATGATTCTGCATATTAATCTACCCTTGGATAGAATGTTCCATGTAGCTAGAGAAGGTTATTGCCCTGGTATAACTTGTGAGGGATTTTGGTTCTAGCCCGAGTCCCCCGCCTACAACACCCCTCCCCAAATGAGGAGATTGGTTCTCTGCTTTAAGGAGACACCCTGCTGAGTTCCTAGAAAAAGGCAGTTATGCTTGGAGTAGTAAGTGGAGTTGAAGAATTCTCCCCTTTTAACATCAGGAACCAACTTGGGAGATGGTACTCTTTGCTCTGAAACTTGATCTGCTTAAATCAAGACTGACGGCAAGCATCTACCTCTCAACTTCTGTTCTCTTTGCTGTGTTATTGCTCTCTGTATTTATATATACATATTGGCTACATCTTTTTCTGTAAATATTTTTATTGCACCCTTTTGACCTTTTTAGTAATAAATCCTATTATCTGAAAAGTGTTGAACTGTTTCTAAAGCTATTTAATGCAAACTAAGAATCCCCGTCTCTGAAGAGTGCTACTGTGTGTTTTAAACCTCTATATATCTCTACCTGCGGTGACAGTGGTATACAGACGATTATTCAAACATTATAGTGTTATTGCTAATATTGGCGAGTTTCCTCCTTTTCTCTACAAAAAGGCGGTGGTGGCAGTGTGAAGGGTTAATTGCGTAATTAACCTGACCCAGTAACAATCGCTCTCAGGCTGCAGGTACATAGATTGTGGTCCATTAGCTGGAAAATCTTTGTGCAGGGTGCAGCTGCATTGTTACGCACGTGACAGCGCGGTTTTAGATTGGCTTGTTCTTTGGTCACGAGTTGGTGAGAAGGGCTGGGGGTCTGACGCTGCGATCGTCACATAGAGGACTCCCAAGAAAGAAGTGTAACCCAAATTAAGAAACTGACGCATACATGTGCCAAAATGGTGCCCATATGTAGTCTCTAGAATCCAAAGTGTTTCAGGGGCCAAACAAAAAAAATAGCAAGAACCACTCAACTAATTTTGGGGGCCACAAAATCCCCGTTCCTCAGGGCTTGAAACAAGGTAGCAAAAGTATTAATTGGACTCAAAACAAGGCTCTTGGAATAAAATAATTAACAGATATCAGTCGATAATGGCACAACTACTCACTAACTGCTTCTCCTATCAGATCTTAATCCAGAAGTATTGTATTGAGACCAATAGATACTTTTGCTACATTGTTTCAAGCCCTGATGAACGGGGATTTTTTTGCCCCCCTGAAATGCATTGGCTTATTCTTGCTGTGACTTGTGATATTAAAAGTGGTTGCAAACCTCAGACATGAAATCTGAACAAAGCACATATTTCTATAGAGTTTACTTGCCTCACTCAAAAGGCACTAAATTATTTCTTTCTGCTGTCTAGTTCTTTTTAGCTGCATAAGTCACTTCTGACAGGTTTTCCTGATACCAAGAGCTAAAAAGGTGACAGGGGAGGGAGTTCCATCACACAGTCTCAGCTCTGTTCCTGTGTGCTGTGTGAAGGGGGGGGGGTGTCCCTTCCCTCCAATCAGCTCTCAGAGCTCTTGTACAGTATGTATCTACAGCTTCCTACCCCCTGCTTTGTGAGTCTGTGAAAATTCCTGTTCATCGCCGAGTTTTATAAGGCTGTACGGGACAAAATGGCTGTGAATAAACAGTTACAACTTATGTAGCCATTTTAATAAAGACGCAACAAGTGAACCATGGTCCCATAATGTGTGTTTTAACTGCATCTTGTAGTCTCCTTCTGAAGCCTGAGTAACAAAACAGGAGAAAAAAAAAATAGGAAGACGCTAACATGCTAAAGTTTATATAAGATTTTAATGCTTGGGTTTAGGTTTACTTTAACAGAAACTGCATCACAAACTTAGCTTTCTAAGAAATAACCGCAACAGAACTGTGATGACGGATGTCAGCAACAGTCACCAAAGGGTTAGTTCATTAAAAGTTGGCAAAAAAAGAGACACCAAAAAGTTATTAGGAGTTTGAAGTCACCATTGGCTCCCGATAAAAGTCTCTTCAATCAATATGTCCACCCAACCAGCCATCTGGAGTCAATGAGGGAAATTACATCCTCAAAGCTGTCCAACACCAAACAAGACTCTGATCAGCAAGGCTGTCTTCTCATGATGAGAGCATCCTTTAGAATCCTGCTTCTTTCTTAGAATAAGATAGCAATTGCCAAACCTCATTTCACACCCGATGAAGTCAGTCATATGACTAGTGAATATTTAAAGTGGACTCATCATTCAGAACTGAACATTTCATATGTTTTGCTGAATGCTGTATGTAGCTCTTCCCCGTTGTAATTAGAACACTTGGCATGCACATGTGCAGGCACAAACACACAGCCATTGAGGAAATAAGGATACCAGAAACCATCAGAATTTAGTGCAAGTGGAATGGCAGCTTGAAAATAAAGAGTCACGCTGCAGGTAGGATCGTCTATGATGGCCTGTGCTCACAGGGAATGGGTTAGATGATGTTGGACAACTCAACACAGAAGATGACTAGTGGTGGACCTCAGAGTGGTGAGACATCCACGTGAATACCACGTGATACTTGAAATGGTAAATTTTTATTAAAAATGACAGGAGCTAGCTTCCTCCCTCCTGTCAAGCACCTATTACATAATCAATCTAATTCTCTAATTTTGTCCATGCTTTCCCTGGATCAAGTCCTTTGAATGCTTTTTTTTTTTTTTTAGATTGTGCCCTCTACCCAGCACTATTAGGAGACCAAATTCAGAACTCTAAAGATATAGAAATTCCTGTTCGCAGTTCTGTAATTCTCCCAGTGTGGTAATGATACAGTTACTGAATCTGAATCCCAATTCAGAGACCCCCACGCGGGCCCCCTCCAGATTTGTACACAAGTAACACTATTGTTACACGAACGGCATGTGGCCTGCTTGTTTCTCCCCAAAGCTTTATCCCCATAATAAGTTGCAGGTTTCTCGAGTGCGTGCCAAAGTATTAACTTTCCTTTCTCTCTTGGTGAGGAAGTAAGCCAGCCTCATGACTGAGGGCTCGTGGAAGGGGGGGCTGAAACCCCCAAACCAGAAGTTCCTACAGCAAAGCTTCAACTGCTACAAAGTGTTACATGTATATAGGTCCAGCCATGCTCCAGAGTCTGGAAGATGAAATCAAATTAGTGAAAGATCACAAAACTGCAATAAACAGGGTTAGAGGACAAAATCCACCTACAAGTGTGTTTTCTAGCTTTGACTAGTGTGTGGAAGGGCTAGAACCCTTATCTGCTTCTCATTGCCCATCTCTCTCCCCACTGGAGAGATTCACCCAGTCTTCATGCCTCGTGTGAGGCCATGTACATTAGTGTGACACGTTGTCACATGAATAGGAAGCCAGGGGAAACCTATCAATACAAAAAAGAAACAGATATCGCCCCCCCCCCCCCTTTTCAAAGAAAAAAAAAAAAAAAAAAGGGTTTTGGCTATTGTTGCTAACCTCCATCCTTCCCTTCAGTCTTGCACAGTTGTACAGGCTCCTCTCCTGTACTGAATTACTTCCTCTGATTCACTGCACACTGTGAGCTTCTCATAATGTGCATTAAAAGCTGCAGCATGTCAGACAGAGCCCACCTCATATCCTGGCTGGTGGACAGTCTCTTTGACCCAACCCATTCATTCATTGTAGTTCAGTGCCTCCAATCATGGAGGTTCAGTATCACATGTGGGCATTCATTAGGACACTCAGCATGCAAATACAGTCTGCCTAGGAATGCCCATGCTTCCAAACTGACATCCACCCATCAAGGCATTTTGATATTTGCATAAAACTACACTGCTTGCATCAGGGCTGAGGGCTCAAAGAGTACTGAAAGTGCAGCAATTTTTAAAGGAAATGTACAGCACCCTGCTGGCCCCTCCAACCAGCCATGATATGCCTACATTGCATAAAGAAGCACAGAGACCCACTAGCTTCTGAAATAAGGTATGTGATGAAAATTTCTATTTACATATTTATTATTACATTTTTCTCACGTGCTGATGGAGGATGAACCAGGAAAGGCAAACTCAACAGAGAGAGAGAGAGAGAGAGAGAGAGAGAGAGAGCGAGAGAACACCGAGGGACCCCAAATCTTAGGAGAAAATGCTCCTGCATCTTTCATATGAAGGGCTCTGCCTCCTTCATGGAAGTGTTACTCCGTCTTTGCGGATTGTTTTATTTCACTCCAAGTCTACCAGACAGGGTCTGTCTAGTTGGAAATAGGCCTTGTAAATTATCTAATGTGAAACAAGTGCAACAGTACTGGGACAAGGCTGTCCAATGCCCAGGGCAAGGATCCAGAATTGCACCCCCCTCCCCCACAGTTAATACATACCATAGAATGGATGTACCACCCTGCATCCATTTGCCCCCTTGTTTCTGTGTGCAAATAGCAGCTGCCCCTCCTACCCATCCCTTGTCCCGGACCTGCAGTGCAGGTCTTCTGGTAGTGACAGGGGAACTCAGTTTTTTATTCATATGTACTCAAAATAATGATGTGATATGGCAATGCTGTTCTTGGCTCATTTGAAGTGTGACATTTAATGACAGGTCCACTTTAAGAAAGCATTTTTGCAGTGTGCGGTTACTCCGGCACGGGTGAGATCTGGCAGAGACCAGGCTGCCACTCCTGTCTACACAGCATCCTCCAGGGGCCAGGCACAATCGATCCCTTTTTATTACGGAAAATTATTACACGTGCCCAGAAGCATTTCTTTTACTTTCTTTTTTTTCCCACTAAAAATTGTACAAAACAAGAGTGAATATAAACAGGTTGGAAGAAAATCTTGGAGCAGAGGATCCATCACACTGGCCATTCTAGACCCCCGGAGAGTTCGGGGAGAGGCGGGTGACTTCATCTGTTTACCAATCTAGCGTCCAGAACTGGCGCATTGCTGCATTGCTCAGTGACTTTACTATATACACGGAGAATAAACACATTAAATAATAAGACCCAGACCACAACTTTCCTCTGTGATGGATCACGAGCCAATACAGCCAGACTACAAGCCAGTGAGCTGAACTTAAAAACAAAACTTTCTGTCACCTGTTCTAGCAGCCAGAATATTTGCAGTTCTGTTCAGCCAGTCTCATGATTCATATACCTCTAGAATACATTGCAGTTGCCTGTTCTGCTTATTGGCAACAGTTTCATTTTTAAGGAAAAAAACTCCACCTTATTGTGGTCGCTGAGTTCCAGTCCACCGACTCTGCCTAGGCTGAGTTCCAGTCCACCGACTCTGCCTAGGCTGAGTTCCAGTCCACCGACTCTGCCTAGGCTGAGTTCCAGTCCACCGACTCTGCCTAGGCTGAGTTTCCAGTCCACCGACTCTGCCTAGGCTGAGTTCCAGTCCACCGACTCTGCCTAGGCTGAGTTCCAGTCCACCGACTCTGCCTAGGCTGAGTTCCAGTCCACCGACTCTGCCTAGGCTGAGTTCCAGTCCACCGACTCTGCCTAGGCTGAGTTCCAGTCCACCGACTCTGCCTAGGCTGAGTTCCAGTCCACCGACTCTGCCTAGGCTGAGTTCCAGTCCACCGACTCTGCCTAGGCTGAGATGAAGTCTTCTGCTGGCAGGAGAAAGCATTTCCTTAGTCTCCTCTCCTTCAGTGATCAAACCATACACTGTTTGTAGCAAGTCATAAGGGGAGAGGCTGCAGCAGGGGCTGATCTGTGTCAGATATTTTTGAACACCACAAAGAACTGCACCATCACCAGGATTTACATAATTGAGTCACCTCTAAGCAAGCGTCTCAGTACTGGAAGTAGACAATGACCCTGAGTGATGCCTGAACAAACATGGCTCTTTCCTTCCGGAGAAAAAAGAAAGAAAGCAGATGATGCTATTTTACACATTACTCTGAAGGCTGCACTTAACATGAAAACTATATCTGATGTTAGATTATTTAGTATTAGTGTCCAGCTACAGTTAGTGTGAAACACAAACCAAGTATAGGCATTGTAGACAGTCAAATGCTCTTTTCTTTTTCCGTTTGCATTTTTGTCTTTGTAAACCTAGCAGGGACCTTAATGTCCCCACTGATCCAAGTTCTATCATCTGGTTCTGTAAGAGCAGTGAAAGTGACACAGTCCGTCTCATAAACAGAAGCAGGGATCAAACATGTGAAGAGCTGCCACAGTGTTTTTAGGATGCTGCCCAGAGACCTGAACTGGGTCGGTTTTTCATATAAAGAGAACTTGGCTTGTTTTAGGCTGTAACTTGTTTCAGTAGGGTTTCCAGTACCGGAGTTTCAGATATTCAAGTCATGTGATTAGCATCCTTCCCTGGTTTCTTCTGTCCACCTTATCAACATACTAATGACTTTTATAAAAACCATTCCATTTTCATTAGATACCTTATTCTAGACCCAATGACATTATCATTGGGCCTCTGTGCTTTTCTATGCAATGTAGGCAGATCATGACTGGTGGGAAGGGCCAGTAGGGTACTGTACATAACTTCCTGAAGATATCACAGCACCCTACCTCCGTACACCTCCTCTTACTCCCTGATGTGGCCCTTGGAAGGAGTCATGCAAATATCAAGATGTCTTGATGAGTGGAGCTCACACTGGAGGAGTGGGTTTTTCCTCACTAGGCATTTAAATGTAGACTGCCCTAGGCAGGGCTTTTTTTTCTTTTTTTCTCAGAAAATAGGTGCTGGAACTCCCCCTTTCTGACTTACCCCTTGTCTCTGCCCCTACCCACCTCTGAGCACCGTTGATTGGTTCCACCCCCTACCCACCTCCGAGTACCACTCTGTTAGAGAATGCAGAGCCAAGTTTCATTTTGTGGTGCTAAGGAATTTGTATGGAATTTGTTAATGACAAGAAAAGCAGTAAAATAGATCCCCTGCAGCCAGCAGCAATAGACCTCTCCAGCAACAATAAATCTCCCAGCAACATTAGACCACCAGCAACAAAATACTGCCGGCAGCAACAGATCTCCCTGCAGCCAGAAACAGACCCCTCCCTCAACAGTAG